GGAGGGGCAGCCCAGGCTGCAGCCCTCACCCAGGACACTGAATCCCCCAGCTCAGCCAACACGGGACAATGTAGGTGCCCCAAAAAGCGGGGCAGCAAAGTCCCCTTGGTGCAGAGAGCACCTTTCCCCTGCTGCGAGAGCCTAGTGCCCTACCTGGAGCCCAGCCACGCCATCAAGCCCCTCCAAAGGGTCCAGCAGTGGCTCTTCATCAGCTCGAGCAGCATCTGGCTTGTCTCCTGCAGAGAGGTCACCCCACCGCACAGCACCAGCCCACGCCTGTACGAGGGGTAGAAAAGAAGCCTAAAGAGTCCCCCTTTACTCGGCGAAGCAACTAGGGTCCAAGCTGCAACGTGCCAGCCAATTTACCAAATCTTACTCCTGCCAACTGGTTGCTCTGCCTTTACATCCAAAATAATGGATTTTTACGTCCTAAAAAATAATAGGAATTCAGACTTCTTATTAACTTATGTAGCACCCAACGCTTAATTTTCATAGAGTGTTAATCAAATAGGTGTCAGCAGGTTCTTACCTCCCTGCACAACAAGATTTAATGGCAATAGGAACAGCTTCTGTGTAAGATAAGTACAAAAAAATCTGTTTAAGATTCCAGCAATTAGTCCTGTTGAGTTTGAAGCCCAAATACTAAATCCTTTCAAATGAAATATGAGAGGCTGAATAATAATTCATGTATTTGGACTAAGAAGCAGGAGTCTCTGCCTTTTTTCTTTTCCTAGACTGTCACAGCAATTTTTCCTCCCTTAAGTCAAAATACCAAGGATATCATTTGCAAAGTTGACTTCATAAGAAGAATACTCTGAATATTTGGGAAGCCTAAGTTCTGCAAACAACCATGAAATAAGAAGAGAAATATTGCATCATTTCATACATTCTCTGAAAAAAAAAAAAAATCCTTCTTTGCTGAAATCCAGGAGAGGTTTCCCTTTGAAGCAAGGGCACAAAAGAGAACGCGTGCCTTTTTAGCTGGTTTTGAGCTTCTCATCATGTTCAGAAAGCAAATGGCAAATCCACTTCGACCTCAATTCTGCTGGCAAACAAACAAAAATTAGCGTAAAAGGTTTGAGTTTAAAGAACAATTCTAAGTACAAGTGACACTGAACACACCTTTGAAATACAAAAAATAAAACACGCTGAGAAAGTCAACTTGATTGCTTAAAAATGTTCAATAATCTACAGGCACAAATTCCCCCACCAAGGAGTTAAACAATTTTTTTTTTTTCTCCTCTTAAATTCATTCCCATTTCAGGGTTTAGGGGGTCTCCTCATATTTTCTCCAACCATTAAAATTACCAAGCCACTAAAATGCTTTCTTCCTGGCTTCCTCGACTGTTGTAATCCCCTTTAAATCAGAATTCCGAAACTATTTTTAATTCAATGCAAGATACTTACCCAATTTCTCCGTGCTGTCAGTCTTCTTACATTAAGCGAACCTATTTAATTTCAATGGTGAAATATGGCCAGATGGCAACATGAGAGAATTTTAAGTCCACTTGATTTACAGTGATTCGAATTAGTCTTTCCTCTCATGTTGTCACCAAGCTGCTGCTTGTCACAGTATTAGCTCTTAACTATCCCAGTTCTGCTTTAATCATTCCCGCAGCGCTGAAGTAACCAACACCAGAGAGGATGGGCTGCTCCAAGGGCTGAGACACCTTAGCCGTGTGAGAGATTAGCGTGGTGTTACCTAGTAAAGGCAAGGAAGGGAAAAGGGCTAGTTCGGTCCCAGGAGAGAAAAGTTGAAGGATGGGCCGAGACCAAGACGAGCTCATTAAGAGCAGATGCTCCACGGCAAAGGGAAAGGAGCTAATGATTTTAGGAAAGGCTGGAGACGCTGCTCCCTGGGGAGGGAGTCGCGGCCCCCTCACGCCGAGAGGCATCACTGCAGCGGCGAAGCAGGTCACCCTCTCGCAGCAGCAGCCCACATGGTGATGATGGCTTGAAAATAGGGACAGCAGAGCAAAAGAGACACTGTGTTAGAGCGGCAAAAAAGCCCCTAGGCAAGGGGGCATTGCCCTATGAAGGCAAAAGAGCTACGGTCTCTTTCCCTTGCTGCCCGGTGTTGATACAGTTACAGCACCTCTTGTATTGAGCTGGACAGGGCCTTTCCCTTGGCCTGGGTAGGTGCACCTCCTGGTAGGGCAGATTTCCAGGTACCTGGGAAAGTCAGGACATACAGGTGCATGCCTAGATAGATGCTCTTCCCTCTGCGGAAAGTCAAATCAAGTAGCACTTGAGGAAAAGTCTTTAAAACCCAACAGAGGCAGGGGACAAACGGCCCTGAGGCCATCCAATTCTGCCAAGCGGTGCAGTCATTTCGCCCAGTAGGAGCTCCAGAGGCAGAGAGCAGCAGCTCCCAGCTCCTCTCCTCAGATGAGCAGTAATAGCCCCACGCTGACAACTGTCCAGCCTTGCAAATCCCCCCGTTGCCACCAGGCCCCAGGCTGAGCACCGCTTGGCCACCTGCGCCTCACCGACATCTTCTGGCCCAGCCCGTGCCCCACAACAAAGACACACCACAGTTTGGGCAAAGGACAACACCACACAACACCATTTTTTGGTCATATAGGCAAGTTACTGGCAAGAACTGTTCTCTGCCACACAGCCAAACAAGGTTCTAGCCTTTTCTTGGAGGAAACAACGCCCACAAAGCCACATCTCATCATTCATGACCGTGTCGTCCGCCAGAGAAGGTCTTGTTGTGGACACCCGGCATAACTCCCCACACCCTGCGCGTCCCAGCCACCACGGGCTGAGGCCAGCACCGGATTGCGCCTCTTCTGCAAATGTTTTCCTTCAATTGGTTAATTTAGGTGGCCCTATGCTTCACTGAGCATTAATTACACCTAATTGTGCCTGGCTGCGAGGCAGCAGATAAGGAGCCTTATTTGAATTTTTTAAATCCATAGTTGGGCTTTCACAGTTGAAATGGCTGGGCACTGGCGTGCATAATACACCGTTGTTCTGCTTTAACTTTGCTGTTGTTAATCAGGTCCAAACAACTGCACGAGATAAGTGATTGGGAGGCTTGTCTCAGCGCAAAATATGTGGAGCATGTAATACAAAGGCAGCATGTGCACTAATTTTGCTTCCCTCCGTCCTGTCAACGATATCATGCCTGCCAAAGCCTCTTACAAAAACATGTGTAGTGGCTAATTTAGCAACATTCATCTTTCACGTTCGGGGAAAGAAACCAAAGACAGCAGACAGACAACAAGAGATTCCACAATCGTGTTTTGAAATGAATTCATGATTGTATTTTATTCCAACATCACCATCCATTGCAGCACGTCAAGTGTACACCCTTACGCAAAATCATTTACTTCCCCGTATTAAAAATAGCAGCACTTACCATGTGTGTGCTCAGCTTCCCCACCAACAGGGATGGGTACAGCCGCGCAGAGGCCATTTGGGACGATGAGGGGTGAAAAGAGATACTTTAAATGGAGATAACCATTGGTGGGGTTATCAGGTTTTGGTACAATGCTAGGCAGCACTGCCTGCCTCACTTATTGCTGATCAACAACTAAAATGCTAGCGCAGCTAATGTCTGTATGGGTACTACTATTGCAAGCCAGGCTAGACTTCTATTAAGGCTTAACTGGTGAGTCTCAACTCAACTTTACTGTTTTCTTGACATACCTAACACAACTAAATGCTGATCCAACCTTTATATGCAAAATTACTTCATCGACAACAACATGTCTGAAAAACTATTCCACAGTAAAAGCCTCCATGGGGAGGAAAAACAAAAATACTTCCAAGATTCAAGTAGCTACAACATTATTTATTGCCATCTCGCCACGTTTGCTATAAAACTTAGTTTTCCGTAAGTGTATTATGAATGCTGATGCAATAAAAAAATAAATAAATTCTGTAAACCATAAGAACTGACACCCGGCGGAGCTGCCCCCGCAGCGGGAGACGGCGGGCGCTGAACACCGAGTGACAACAGGCAGCAGCTCCCCGCTGGCTCCCGTGGTCCTGGGACCCTTCCCTTGGGAGCGGGAGCCATGGGGAGCTTTTCTTTCCGTGGTGCAGGCACCAGAGCACCGTGCCAAGACCCTGCCGCCTGTTACTCGATACAGCGCCTCGCCGGCCTCCCGCTTCTCCCCGAGCGCGGCTCCCTCCCTGCGGACCGATAACAGCCGGAATGCTGCAGGGTCATGACAGAGGTATTTCCAACACAGACTTCCCAGGGATAGTTTGATGGACAGAGTAAGACTCAGTCTTCCAGCTGTTCAAGAAAGAGTAGGAGAGACAAGATGAGGGTCAGGGTTGCTTGTCTAGAAAAAAAAAACAAACCCAAAAATCCTTCCTCAACCTTGAAACCTCTGGGAAAAAAATGTAAAAATCCAAAAGGGAAATGTATTGCCCAAGAGGATTAGAGCCCCTCCAGCACCACCAATGTCACCTGTAAGGTGAACATGTTGGGCTTGGTTATGCTGTTGTGCTCTGGAAGGGAGAAGTTGATATGTCAGAGTAGGGAAACCAGGTTTTTAAATCAACCTGAATCTACCAGGATTGAGGTATGGTCGAAAGTTAAAAGTGCAGCAAAGAACAGTAGATACAAAGAAGAAAAAAAGGCCTGGAATATGTTGGCACTGAACACAATTCTTGTATGAAAATGATTGTCACAAGTGTCATCAGCTAAAACAAGGTAAGAAAATAAGTTTGCCATAGAGGTATCTTTCTGCTCCTTTCAGCAACAAAATCCACCAAAAGTTCACAAAATATCTTTTCTGCATCACAAGTCAGTTCTTTGGAAAGCAGAAGTTGAACAGTCCCAGCCCGAGCTTCCACAGGGACGGTCCGGTTGCTTTGGAGAGGAAAACCCAAAACAGAAACCCGGGAAAGCTCCTTAAGGCAAAACCCAAAGCCTCCTTACGTCCTTCTGAACCGCACCAAGGGACTTGTCCATGTGGGGCTCCAGCGGTGATCCAGCCGGGGCCCCTTTCCCGGGGAGCAGCGGCCACGCACAGCACCTACCCGAACCGAAACTTGAGGCGGTATTTGACGGGCGCCGAGTGCTTGCGCGGCGCCGGGGCCTTGGCCCGAGGCGGCGGCCGCGGCGGCCTCTTCTTCCTCTCGGGCATGGCCACGGTGAAGGCGAGCTCGGGCTGCTCGGCGCGCCCGAAGCGCGGCAGGAAGTGGGTCGAGACGTGCTGGGGCTTCACGCGGGGGCTGCAGCCGCGCTTGGCCTTGCCGCGCTTGTTGAGGGCCACGTACCACTCGCGGCCCGAGCGCTCGCTGCGGTGGGCGGCCGAGGCGTACGTGTTGTAGCTGTTCTCCTGAAAGCGCTCCCGGAACTTGCAGTCCTCCGTGAACTTGGCCTAGGGAAGCAAACCCAGACAGGAGAAGCTTACCCGAGGGCGGGCGTTCGGCCAAGCCCCTGCCGCTTTCCCCTGCCAAAGGGCCGGCCGCTGCCGCTCGCTTCGGTTCAAGGCTCCCAAATCAAGCGGCCAAACGGTGTTCAGCAAAGAGGGGGGGCTCAGAGACTCCCTCCCAGGCCACTGGATGCCCCACGCTTTGAGAAATCTGCCAACTGAGATATCCTCAAAAGCCCATCTTCAGCACCCCCTTTCTGGGCTTCTGCAGAAACACGGGTTGCAAGAGCCTCTCCCCGACCCGCCTCGGCGCCGGCAGCCTTCACACATCGCTCGTCGGCCCATCTTCCCTACTGAAAGGGCGTAGGAAAAGGGCCTTTATCTGCTGGCCAGCAGCTTCCTTGGAGAAAAATTAGGTCCTAACCCTCCCTCTATCTGAATTCCTAGCCTCGCATGGCCTGCTTTTGCGCTGAATCATTGCTTAATAATCTGGAAAGGCAATTTGCATGCAGATTTGCCCTGCTTCGCAAAGCATAGCTTTGATTCTATTGGATTTCTTTTTTCCCTAAATAACCTGGGGTCTCTTACCCCTTGATAACCTTAAGAAATGACTTCCAGCCAGAGAAGTCCTCTTCACATGAACAGGGCAGTTCTCTTGGTTTCGAGGCCTGGACTGCCGTGGGGAAAGGCTCTCCCAACGTAGCAGGAGGGAATAAGCCATATCCAAACCCGGCATAACGGACCTCAACTGCTTTGGATCACCAGACATACCGCTGATTCCTGCCTAGTCAGGGAATTATGCCTAGCTCTGTAAAATATCAGCTCCTTTCACACGTCACACCCATCAAAATAAGAAGAGGTAACAATGCCAGAGCAACGCCACAACAGTGCCAAGCTCCCTCGGAAAAACCAAGTTCAGATGTGGGAGCAGCAGCTAGCAAAGGATCCAGGCTCACCGAGGTGGTAGATGACACTAAGTCTTCTGCTCCTCACCCTCCTAGGAAATCAGTATACACCGAGGGCCCATTTCTGCCCTTGTGCACATGCAGAAATAGGCCATAAAACTCCAGCTATCCAAGGCATTGTGATACCTAGCTGCATTCTTCAACAGCTGCTCTGAAATACTCGCCTGTTTTTTTAATCTGATAAAGAAAACGTGAGTTGGTGTCGTATTATCTTCTAAAACGCTATCTGGTGTATCCGAGCCTGATCGCCAAGCAAAGCATTCCATGTATTACTTTAAAACAGGTGCTGAGATTTTTAGCTTAGAAATCCAAGGCAATGCAAAACCGCAGAGAAAAACCCTAGAGTTTTAGAACCAGTTCGAGCATCCTTTAGGCTTAGTATCATTTGTAACCCTGTCATTTAACCAGAGAGAAGCCGAGTCCTACAATTCAAATGACAGTGTCCTTGACTCTCCATACATTTTTTTTTCCTCCCGTCACGCTCAGAATTAAGTCTCCTTTCACCCTTTACTTGGGAGCAACGTGAGCCTGAGCGTGTTTCAGCTTTCCTGGCCTCTCATAACCCAGCGTGGTGTTTCACTGACGTGTGACCAGTGTCACCATCAACCCTTGTCGCTCTCTGCAGCCCAGCTGAGACGGGGGGCACTGGGCAGCCCCCGCATCGCCCGGTGTCGCCCCTCAAAGGGGAGGCTTTAGGAACAGCTGGCCCTCATGATTAATATTGCTCATCATATGCTGACTTGCAGAATATTCTTCTGGGCTGTAACTTACAGCTGAATTTCAAACAAAACCCGGTGGCTACGTTTCGGGGGGAGCCCTCGGAGGGGATGCAGGGAGGAGCTTTCCCCCGACGCCAAGGCCCCCCACACAGGGCACTGCGAGTTGCCCCCCTAAGCTGCCCTGCTTCCCCCAAGCTCCTCACGGGCTCAGCGGGGCGGAGACGGGGCCCTACTGACAGCACCTTGTGCAAGGGCAGTGAAGCAGCCCCTGTGTTTCCGGGGGGGATTTGGGTGAATGGCAAGAACAGGCCCGGTTTTGTTTGAGGAAGTTAAGCTGCCTCCCCTGCCTTGGGGATCAAGACCCACAGAGCCCTCCGACCCAGTGCCGACAAGGGCTCAACGTGGCTTTGCAGGCAGTGGGACGAACATGAGCTGCTGCTCCGGCTGCAGACGGGCGGCTCCCAGCTGCTGGGCTCCGCGGGGAGCTAACGGAGGCTTTCAGCCCGGGCCCGCATTGCTGCGGGAATGCGGCCGTCAGAAAGCTAACCGGAAAATAAAACAGAATACCAACTACTGAAACACCTCATGACACCAGGGACAGGCCTTGGGGCCTTCTAGAGGGTTTTGGTACTGGAGCTGTTCTTTGGGGAATTGCTCCCTACAGGACCCAAACCCATGGGCTTCAGGCATCTGTGCATCAAGAGCTTCTCCTGGGCCAAGCTGCACATAGCACCTGCAGGGTCAGCGAGGGGAGGGGGCTACCCGAGAAACACGTGGCTCTTTTCACAGCAAAACGCTCCAGCGGGATGAAAAGCTTTTGTCTCGGAGCGTTCCAGGCTGAGCGCCAGTGCACGTGCGGAAGACAACAAGGCAACACCAGCACTTTTGGAAGATAACATGTTTGAGCTCCCTCCTCAAAAAGAGCACGACAGGAAGATGCCCCTTGGCTGCAAACGATCACCTCCAGCGTGTGGCACACCAGCTCCCACCACGTGCCCCCACGGCCTTGGGGACCTGCCAACATGCCAAAGTCCCCAGCACTGCTGCTATAGGTTGCTAATGCTGGAGGCGGCAAGAAAGACCAAGGAAGGATGCAACTCTGCACCCTCACAAGACGTCAGTGCCCACAGGCACTTCATGGGGCACAGGGCTTCAGCAGAGCGTCTGCACGACTTGCCCCAACTCACTGTGGAGAGGCGCACAAGTGCGTCAGTGCCTATGTCCCAGCCCAGACCAGCAGCAACGAGATCACCTTCCTCCACGAGCATCCACACATGGGTCCAAGCCCCTTTCCCTGTCACCCATCTTCACTTGGTACAGTGAGGGAGGACAGCGACTCGGACCTGTCACACTGCAGAGGGAAGGGACTTGGGCCTTTCGTAAATATACCAGGGCCCTTGGTCTGTGATATGACCTGAATTAGCATCCATGGACGCTCCCTGCTCAAGAACAGCCAGGTCTTCCTCAAAACATAACAGCTACTTTGCCAAGAAGGGGTTTTCACCATGCAGATGTTTAAAGATCCTTAAAGACGGTGAGCAAAGAGATGGCAGGGAGGAAGAAAAACAGATTTTCAACCTGTTGCACTGTTACGAGGTTGTAGGCAACTGGTTGATCCTCACTTGGACAGTTTCCCCTGCTATGTCTGAGCTTTCCAGCTACACCCTGGTAACATCTCGGTTGTGAAATGCCACTTTTCTTGCTGGCCTCACCCAGCCTGGCCAACATGTACAGCCTGAGCTCAGGAGCTGCAAAGACAGAGCCAGACGTAAAGCACAATCCTGAAGTCAATTAAATCTTTTAAATTAAAAGCAAGAGGAGATTTGCCCCAGTGAGGACCAAGGCATTTGGTCTGCAGTTATTAATTCGACACAGCTCTTAAGAAAGGAAAATTGCCTTAGACCCCTGTAGACAAATACTGCTGCTTTCAGGTTCGCGCTAGCCCCCTCCTGAAATCAATGCCAACCAATTCGTGCCCATTTAATGATAATAATGCTCAAAGATGTAACCAAGGATTTAAAAATGAGGAAGGAGCCATCTGTGCGTGGAACTGATAATTGCTAGCAATATTATTTCTAAATCCAGCGTCTAAAAATGAACCACTTCATAATTTAATTAAGCCGCCATCAAAAAGAGTGAGGGCCGTTGCGAAGCGCTGAGCTCCGATAAAGCGGAGCCCAGAGAAGTGGCCGCGAAGGATCCCACATAACTGCAGGAATTACTTTTATCTACAGTCCAGCACAAAGTCGCTGCAGTGACTTCCATATCAAAGCGCGGCGGTGAGTGACAGGCGCAGGACTTGCTTTGTACAGCTTAAAACTCATTAGGCCATGAAATAACTTTATCCTACCAAGCCAGGAAAGAACAACAGATGCTGGGCCTGCGTTATCGGCATTATTGCGTCCAGCGATCTTTAGACATTTGGGTCAAGTTTCGACAAATTCGCCGCTTTCATCTGAGCTAGGAATCGCATGTCCTAACCCCGGGCTCTGACCTACCTAATCAATGCCCAATTATAACGCGGGGCTTTGTAGGGCAACAATTAACCATAACCTGATGAGGCCCTAATTTAATTTGGACCTGTGTTGAAGCATAAATCAAGACTTAAATTCTGAATATCAGCTCTATTGTACGACACCGAGGAGGAAGGTCTCAGAGGGATATGAGGTAGATGATATGAGGGATATGAGGTTCTTGACAGACTGACCTGAGAATTACACACGACGCTTGTGCCCCACCCCATCCTTTCCTGCTGTTGAAGTTGTGGTCGAGGGAAAACTGGGAAGCTGAATTCAAATGTTTTTCTCCTCTTTTGGAAGACTCCAGCAAAATCCTGTATGGAGACCCGTGTCAGGTAGGAGAGCCCTCAGCTCCCTGGGGTTTAGCTGAGCAGCCCCCAGACCTGGCGTGTCCAGCCCCTCGGGCAAGAAGGACTAATTGGACATGAGCAGACAGCTGAGCAGGCTGAAGCCTGGGAGGTGCCACCAGTCTCCTAAAATTCCCCTGGAGAAGGGGCCATGCGCAATGGCACAACAGCCTAATGCAGCGCCAACAGCCCCAGTCGTCACCCTTTTAGCACCTATCCTGCACCTCTTCCCCTCAGACGCCCTTGCTCGGCAGAAAGCTTGCTCCCATCTCTGCCTTCCTTTTTTTTTTTTTTCCTCCTTCCTTTTCGTGCTGTCTTACCTGCTGCTCTGCTCTCTGCCTGTGCTTTGCCAATTTGCTACCCCTTTTCCTTCCCTCTTGGCTTTCTTGGCCTCCTCAGCCATTTCTACTTTCTTCTGGACTGTGATCCTGCTGCTATTTTGTTTGCTAAAATAAGCAAGGCTGTGCTCACCCTTGAAGCATCATTAGGTTTCAGGAGTAACACTTCACTAAAAGTCAAGGGACGGAGAGGCGAGTTCATAAATCTCTGTTTCAGGCAATTTGTAGACTCAAGCAGCAGAATTACCAGGAAGAGTCACTTCACAGCAGTGAAGCTAATTTCATAACCATGGGGGTAGGAATTTGCTTTTTCTGAGCAAAATAAATAAATAAATAATAAAACTCCATGCTGCTAGCCCTGCATCAACACTCTGGGAACCAATTTGGATGACAGGTCATACAAGAGGCTGAATTAAAAATATCCTCCTTGGGCTGCTGCATTCACACACTTTGAGAGAATGACCTCTAGGTAAGCCCGGCAATTATTTTAAGCCATGTTTACATTATCTCTAAGATTAACAGAAAAAATAGCAAGCAGTAGCTTCAAATTGGAAAAAAAAAGAAAAAAAAAAAAGGACATGAAACAAACTCCAGGGATTCATTCGACATTAAAAAAAAAAAAGGATAAAAAATAAAAAGCTTAATTCCTTCTGCTGCAAAAGATACAGAAGGAAAGCAGCATGCAGAAACGAGAGTTGCAGTGGCTGCCACGTAGCCCTCCAATATACCTGCTAGGAAGCCTCGACCCAACCGGACTTCTGCTCACGCTGCGGCCAAGCACAGCGTGGAGCTCCCCAAGCGCCTCCTGGGCCCCTTGCCTGCTCCCGTGGGGCCAAAGCGAGGGGATTCTCCCAGCCTTAGGAGGATCGGGCTTTGCCCCAACAGATGGGACACCCAGTGGCACCTCCTCGCCACCCCCGAGCCCCCACATAGGGCTGCTGGCGTGGCGCGTGCTACCGTATTTTCCTAAACTAACCCCAATAACCAACGCAGCCTTTTGATGCAAACACCTCGCTGCCAAACCACACGTGCACTGAGCAAATGCAAGAGCTGGGGGGCTTTTGGATCCAGCAGCCGCCTCGCTGCTGCGAAGCCCGGAGCCTTTGCCGGACACCTCGGCAGCCTGAGGCGCCCGGGGCCTCCTGCATCTCTGGAGCTACCACGGGCATGGAAAACTGCCGCAACGCCTTTAATAAACAAGACATACTGAGAATGGGGTTTTTACTTACACTTGCATGGAGTTTTCCTTTTTTTGACATCGCTAAAAATTTGTTGCTGAAAACTCCTCGTATTCCTACAATCCCCTGAGACACAGCAAATATTTCCAAAATACCTAGGATGACAGAAATCCCAAAATAAATCACAGTTCTTTGCACAGCGTGACAAAAAGAAAAAGAAAAGAAAAGTACCCGTGTACGTTGGCATTTGCACTCCAAAAGCTCCGCTTCGTGGCTCCCGCGCCCTGCGTGACAGCCGTGAGCAGCGGGCAAGCCGCTAAGGAGCCGTGTTTGCGGGGGAAAAGGGGCTGCTGCTGCTGCACCTGCTGGGGAAACGGCTCCTTTGGGGCCGCCTCAGCTCTGACCTTTCCACAGGCACAGAGCTGGTCTCCAAAACTTAGGTAAGCATGGGGAGAATTTAGGCCAAAAATACAGCACCTTGGACCTACGGCCTCTCTAGCCAACCAGGCCTCAGCCTTCCTGCTCCCGGGCGGATGCTCCTGTGGAGAGGATGGCGTCGCGCACACTGATCTGAGCCAGGGAGGAAAAGACCGGGGTCATTTACCTCCGTGCTGCCCGGGCAAGGTACCGGCAGCCGCCCCTTGCCGCGGGGCCGCCCATCGGCCCCATGGGGAAACCACCTCTTCCCATCTGGTTGGGGCTTTTCCTTGCACCCTGCAAGCTCATTCCCCATAAGCAGAGGGCCCCATGGGGAAATAAGGGAGACATCAGCACCAGCAGGACCCCCCAGACAAGGCTGCTCCCTGCCACCTTGGCCTCATCCCATGGTGACTATCACTCAGCCACCCCAGCAGCCTCAGCCTGCGGCACCCGTGGGCTCCATTCCCCAGACACGTGCCCACTACCTAGGAGAACTTCCCGCTCAACCCATCGCCCTGAGATGCCCCTGCAACGGGGCAGTGTTTTTCATGGCACGGAGGGTAAACGTGAGGGCCAGCTGAGCCCCTGAGGGAGATGGGGGTCCAGCTGCAGCGTATCTGCCCCACAGCAAGGCAGTCATGAGCTCGGCATGCCAATAGGCTTTGGGACAGTTCCGGGGGGCCGAGGGAGGATTAGGTCACCGCTGCCCATGAGTGGTTTAAGGTGGGAAGGAAGCTGCAGGAGGCAGGCAGATTGCAAACTCTTCCCGTGAAGGAGCTCTGACTTCCTTGCCCTTCCTCCTCGGAAGGTCAGGGCCGGCAACACTTCAGCCTGCGACGTGCCCAAGCACCCAGACAGGGCTCTCCCGCTCCGCTCTGTGTCGCGGAGAGCACGCCGGGAAGGCAGCAGCTCCACGAGATCAACACCCGGATTATTTCCGGCAAGCCAGATTTTGTCACTGCTCCCGAGCGCAAGTGACAGGCAAAAGGGCTGTCGCTTGCGGGGTCATGGCAGGACCAGCCTCAGCCTCTCCCAGTCCTCTTTGAGCCACTCTCCTTCCCTCCACCAGGAAATCGCAGCCTCTCCAGCTGCAACCTCTGCTTCTCCCTCCCCAGGGGAATTGCAGCCTGGCTCCTATTTTTAAAATCCACAGCCCCTGGTGCTTTGCTCAAGCCATAAGAATGCCAAGGAATGAAGGGGAAAGGTAAATGGAGACGGGATGGGGAAAAAGGGAGGCAGAGCCCAGGTGAGCATCCTCCTGCCTCCCTGCCAGCTAAGATATCCTGGTTTGCACCTCCGTACTAGTCAGCACCCAACTCCTTTAGGAGGGTGTGTGGCCACCACAGGGCAACCCCTCCAGTGTCAACAGCTCCCCCCTCACAGCCCTACCACAAGCCACGGCAGGGGGGACCCTCCAGAGGTGTCTTTGGCCACCGCGCAGCCCTGCAGCCTGGGCAATGTTGGGCACCTCCAGGCACCCACCACCAAGCTGTCCTTGTGCCCATGGCCCCCTCGGGAGGGAAGACCCCTGGGGCTGCCGGGCCTACGCTCTTCCCTCCACGGCAGTCCGGAGCGGGGCCGCACCGTGCCGGGCTGGGGGGCACAAAGCGATAGGGGTCCCACGCGCTGTGCCAGGGCAGTGCCAAGGGGGCAGAGCCGCGGCTGGGAGAGAGGACCCACGCGGGACGCCCCCCCACCCCGCAGGACACGCGGCCCCCACGCGAGGGGCAGGCACTTACTGAGCGGCCCGGCGAGGTGGGCGCCGTCCACGCGGCCGTCGGGGTGCAGCTGCAGGTGGAAGCCGATGCCCACGCGGCAGTAGAGGCGGCCGCGGCGGCGCCCCGGGCGGCTCCGCGGGAAGCGGCTCGGCCCCGCGGCCGCCGCCGCCAGGGAGGAGGAAGAGGAGGAGGAGGAGGAGGAAGGCGCGGGGGCGGCGCGGGCGGCCGGCGCCCCGCCGGGCACCTGCTCCCGCCGGGCGCGGGCGAGGAGGGCGAGGAGGAGGAGGCCGAGGAAGGACAGGCTCATGCTGCCGGCGGGAGGGCGCCGCGCCGCATCCTGCTCCGCGGCCGGCAGCGCTGCACCGGGGAACGGGGGGGGGGGGGGGGGGGGGGGGGGGGGGGGGGGGGGGGGGGGGGGGCACACGCCCCTCCCCGCACCGCCACCGGGATATTTATAACGGGGCCGTCCGCGGGCCGGGGGGATGAGGAGAGGAGGGGGGCGCGACCTGCACAGCGCCTGGCACAGCCCATGCAGCGCCCCACGGGGCCCCCGGCTTCCCGCGAGTGGGGCACTGAAGCCTCAGCGCCCCGTGCCCAAGCCCAGCGCTCGCCCGCTGCCTCTGCCCCGAAAATTCACTTGCCCCAAGGAGTCGGGTCCATGCGTCTGGTCCCACATCAGGTCCCCACAAGGGAAAGGCTCTGCCACTGGAGTGCCCCCGGAGCAGGCAGCCTGTGGGACAAGCGGGGCCCCACCAAGCCCCTGGTGGACACGCACGGGTGCGGGAAGGATTGGGTTGCAGGGCCCGCCGGCTGCAGCGCTGGAGCAGGGGAGATGAGAGCCAACAGCTGCACTGCCAGCCCCACCGCCTGCCCGCCACCCCTCAGCCCTTGCGGGAGCCAGAGGCAGCACCCCCTAGCCCCAAACCACTGTCACCACCGCATGAAGGTGCCAAGTGCCCTGGGGAACCGTTGCCACCAGAGGCTGGACAATGGCAACCCCAGGAGCGTGAGAGCACCCCTCACTGCACACCAGGGCGCCCAGGCTCGGCCCCTTGCGCTCCTGTGGCCGGGATGTAGCAGTACCTGCTACACGACCATGGCCGTGTATCCCTCAAACAGAAGCCACCCTTGGGGTAGCACCCTGACATCCATCTGGCTTTCAGGGGCAGCACCTTCCCACCTCTCCCTCCCCATCTCTCATTGCCAGAGCACATTGCCTTGCTCCCCAGGCACCACGGGAGAGCCTCCCCTGTCCCTACTCGCAGCCCCACTCCTGCATTTCCTGGCCTCACTGCTCCACCAAAGCTTCCCGCAAACTCAGCCAAGGCCAAGACCATCTGGGAAAGCTCCCCGCGTCTTGCAGAAGCGCTCATTGACAGCAGCAGGAAGTCGCACCAAGCCGGTCAGGGCCTCGGTGGCCACCATCCTCAACAGGCGGATGGAGGTCAAGCCCACACCGAGGAGCGGGCGCTCAGGCAGCCGGGGCCTCCGCCAGCGGCACTTGGCACGGTTGAGTCTGAGTCAAAATGATCTCGCCCCAACCTTGCTGCGCTTGCAAAGGATTTATGAGAGCATGTATTATATATATATACACACACATATATATATATACACACACACATATATATACACACATATACATGCACTTTCCATATATATGCATAGGTATATGCACAGCCATGCTTATAAATAAATGGGCAGCTATATAGAGAGCCCTGTGTATAAATAGACACACCTGGAGGGTGAAGGCCTCTGCCCAGAAGAGCAGCTCTCGCCCTCTCGGAGGCTTCGGGCCAACCCGGCCTGTGCACACTGAGCCGATGGAGCCAGGATGGCTGTGCCTGGAAAAATCAGTGCAACTGTTTACACGGCCACAGGTGGGGATTAGCAGCCCTTTCCTGCGGCAGCCTCCGACACTCCAGAGAAAGCCGACAGCAGCCAAGTTTTCCAGGGCTGGCCCGCTCCAAACTCCACGTTTGCCTATTATGGGAAACGCCACTCGGCTCCTCCAAGCCATCCCAAAAGGCAGCACAGGTTGTTAAAATGAGCAAGCGGGGGCCATGTGACACTCCCTGCAGAGCAGCACCACAGCGGGATGCAGCCGCCACCCCTGGGAGCGCTGAGGGATGCCCAGAGATCACCAGGAGCCCCAGAGCCCAGACCAACCTCAGGCCGGTTTTGCTAAAACACAATTTGCCTCTTGATTAAGAAAGAGCACGGTGGGCAGAGCCTGCCTGAGCCGCAGCCTCAGCGCTTGCTATTAATAGCCAGAATAAATAAATAAATAAATAGCTGTCGCCTCGGCAAGCGTGTGAAGTCACTCGCATTCCCGGAGCAGGCTGCACTCTTCCCGACTGCCCTGCTTGGAGGGCTGGAAGAGCGGATTTGCATCCGGGCATCACTGGCTGGACGCCCCACGGCCCCAAGGACAGGGAATCAGCCCCCCGGGCACTCAAAGGACTATTCGCTGCGTGCAGCATTTTGGGAATATTGCACCCGTATCCCTGTGCTCTCGTAGCACAGCCCACCCTAGCGGCCATGGACATTATTCCAGCAGCAAGTGTTGCCCCTATGCAGCCCTACATATACTGATTTTGCAAGGAGATAGCCATGAAGTCAGCACCCAGGAGCTCCTTTAGAGGCATGCATAGTATCAGGTCGTTTTCATTTGGGTCTATTAGTCCATACAACAGCTTTCATTTCAAATATTCCAGCTGCTGGTGCAGTGCAAGACAGTAAAAAAGAACAGGGCTTAAATAATGTATATATCTATATACACATATACACACATATATTATCTGTCACCTTCCTTGACGAAGGCAGCTTGGCTGCCTTCGGCAGCAGCAGCAGCCACAGTTGTCCTGGCAGCTCCCACCACCCAACACCGCTGGGATTTTGGCTGCGTCCCTCAGGGCTCGGTCAGAGAGCAACCAGGCTGGGAGGATCACGTGGCTCGTGCATTACCAGTGTCCTGGGCTCAGGCGAGAAGGGCTCTGGGCAGCACATATCTCCTCTGCTACGCAGCTCTGGCCACCCTGGGCAAACGTGCCCTGCACTATTTTAATTGTCCCTTTAATGTATATACATACACAACACACACACACATATATAATATATGAAAAACGCAACAAGACATGAAACAAGCCAGCTGAGCAGGCAGCTTTTGTGCCGAGCTGCAGCCTCGGCCTTGCTCGAGCCGCCCCGCACGCTGCTCTGCCTCTGTTTATAGGAACGAGCCCCCGCTCCGCAGCTCGCCGGACGTTTATGGGTATAAAGGGCCTCCAGTCAAACAGCGCTGGCTGCCGCCGCCTTTTAACAGATGGCCTCGCCGAGGCAGCCCACCCTGCCTTTAGCCTTAACGCACTGCCAGAGGTGGGTTTTACCATATTAGCAAAGTCACGGCATGCTTGGGAGCATACTTATGCCAGGCAAAACTGCAGGGGGTACAGAAGAAAAGGGCTGCCAGACTCCCACCTGTACACTGAAGGCCCTGGTGTTAAACGTAACTGGGAATCGGAAAAAGTCCAGCAGTGGCCAGGGTTTCAGGATCTGCCTCAGCCCATGCAGCCTTTGGGCACTGGTTTCTGTGGGGAGGTGCCACACAGAGGGGCATGGTGCCATGTGCAAGAGGGAGCAGAATACTGGGACCACGGATCTCCAAGCAGCTGAAGAAGGGAGTACCAGCTAGCAAAGGGTCCAGCATTTGCCATGGTACTCAACACAGCTGAGAGGCCAGAGACCTGTCCCTGGTGTGAGGTGCAGTGCTTGCCCAGGTAGGGTTTGAGGTGCCCCGTCCGCCACTTCTCCCCCCATACCAGATGTTACAAGTAGACACAGCAAGTTCAACCCCACAACAGCATCCAGCTGACACTTGTCACCCACAGCTTGGCCAACAGCACCAGCCTCAGCTCCGTGAACACAGGGCACAGCTAGGAGACAAGAATCAGCACAGCTGCACAAGCCAGAACGAGCACCCACTGCTACTCACACGCATGGCTTCCCGCGAGGCGGGAAAATGCGGAGCAGGCAGCCCAGAGCAGGCAGCAGCACCAGGCACCCCAGGAACGACCCCGACCCCCAAGGCAGCCGCAGGCCTTAGTCGCCCCTGTTCAACCCGGCGCCCGAGGCGCTGGCTGCGGGCGCGGGCCGCGCCCCGCTAGGTGGCAGTGCCCGGCTGGCCTGGCCAAGCCGCGGCCTAGCGCATCCCTGCGGGACCCCGCAGGCTGCTCTCCCGCTCACACAGCGCCAGGCAAGACAAGAAGTCCCTGACAGAACCTGGAGCTACCCCAGCAAAACGCAGGAAGATCCTTCCCTCACAAAAACCAGGACAAACAACCGGGGCTTCTTTTTTAGTGTCAAGAAGTAACCCACCCACTTGGAGCATTAAATGGAAACACCTGGGGGAGAACTGGGGCTGGTCCTGCAACCAGCAGCTCGTCAGTGGGCTCATGTGTGTTCCTCATCTCAAGGGCCTTCATTTGACAGCCTCAGGATTTGTCATTTTAACACATGCTTAAATATTTGGCATTTATTATTCTGCTCTCAGGATGTGCAGTGGGGAGAATATCAGCATGGAAAAGAAATGTCAACTGATAGGCCAAGCAGCAGCCAAGAAAAATTGGGGAGAAGTGCTTTAAGTGAACTGAAAATATAAAACAAAACAAAATAAACGAAATAGAAAACACAATATATGGTGTGGAGGGGGGGGAACCGTCAAACTGTGAAGCCAGTTTCCTAGAAGGGATGCAAGTGAGGAAATTTTGAAGTGTGTGGCACAGCCAGCACTGATTAGTTGTCCAAGCTCTTCTCAGAAAGAGACACAGAGGCCCAAACTGTCATGAGTTTGAAGTCTGCAGCACATCCCGGGGCAGTAAAAGCTCTGCAGCAGGTCCAGGTGCTTCTTGGCAAGCCCCGCAGTTTACAGCAGGAGATACTGGCAGTCACTGTAGTCCTGCTAGCACCAAAGCTGGGGGACCCGTGAGCGCTGCTGGAGGCTGCAGAGCTCGCGTGGCCGCTGCTGGGCGCGTCTGACCCACTGCCAATTGCCTGCACCTCGAGCAGACCCGCGCCCACAGCACCCAGCCCTCGCGAGCTGCAGCTCCGCGCGTGCCGGAGCGTGGTGCACGCACACAGCCACCTGGGGCTGTGCTTTGCGCTGTGCGTATTGCCATTCAAACCCCCAAATTACGTGGGTTTGACAGGAAGTGCGCTGGCTGGGAGACAGGGAGTGCGTTTCGGCAGCGCACGCAGGCTGCGGCTCTCCCCGCCGTGTCCACGCAGGATCCCGTGTGCAGGCTGCGTGAGCCAGCTCTGGGGCAGCGGGGCCTCCCCTTGCCCTGCACGGGGCATCCCCTTGCACGTGGGATGCACGGGGCATTTCTTTTCCAGACCACTTCCCCGAGCGCTTTGCCGGGTAGGAATAGATACAGCCGCGAGGGCTCAGTTAACGCAGACTGGCACGCTCAGTGCCTGCTGGCCCCGCACCCTCACGCGCGGCCGGCTCCCTCGCGCAGGGCCAGGTCCAGCTCGGGAGCGCTTTGCTGCCCAGCTCAGTACTGAGCCCTCCTTCCCGCTGCTGTGGAAGCACCGTCCTCCCACTCAGCCCCGCTACGGCCCCTGGGGAGAGGAGACTGCGTGGCTTTGGGCATCGCTCCGCACGGCAGATACCTGCTAAGAGGGGCTCCCGCGGGGCGAATGCCACCCTGCTCCTCAGCGGCTCTGCCCCTCACGCCCCTGGCTGAGGGGGAGCTCAGGGGGAGCTCTGCCTCGCTCCATCCCTCGCCCCTCGGAGAGACTCGGCCCAGGGAGCAGGAGCCCAGACGCCGCTGCCCGCACCCGGTGCTGGGCGAGGGACAGGATCTCCGCGAGCGCCGCAGCTCCCGCCGCGGCGCCGCACGGGGACGAAGCGCCGCGGGACGGGGCTCAGCCGCGCGGCGAGCCGGGGGCAGCGGC